TATCAAAAGAACACAAAATTGTATTAAAAAAATAGGTACAGTAATGTTCTCTTATGAGAGTATAAAAGTGTCAGAAAATATATTTTTGATCTGAAAATCATTATTTTTTTACATATCAAACAAGCTCTCGCAAATACAAATCGGGGTATATAAATACCCTAGTTCAGCGTTTGTATCGCAAACAAACCGAACCTTGAGAAATACTTAGCGGAATAAGTATTTCTTTTGATTCTTAGGTAAGTTATATAATTATTTTTCTATCCATAAAAACTCGTTATTAGATTGGAAAAAATTATTATAACCTCTCATGTCAACTTTCCTTCCAAAGTTAATTATGCACTTGGGAGATAGATATCTTATCCACCCAGAAAAAGTTCTGGGAGTCCCATATGAATCTAGGAAACAAAGCAGCCAATGGAAACAAAGCAATCCCATTCGACTTGATCGATGAAAGCTTATGGTCCGTTTGGTTGTTGAGAAAGGATGGGATGGGAAAGGATGGAATGAGAAATGAATATATTTTTTTCCCATTTTGCATCCAGGGTTTGTTTCTTGAGAACTGTATGATCAAAATTCATTTTCCTGTGTTTGTTTTCTAAGAAAATTTAACAGTAAACATATTAAACCAAGTTTGTCATCCTTTCTCACCTTCTTCAATGACATTGCATAGTCGACCACATGAATGTGTAAATTTGCCACGTGGCAACAATGAGGTGCATATAAGATATCACAATCACATTCGACAAAATGGTAACTATCATGTTCCATATTGTGTATGGTACTTGATTGCATTACATATTGTTTCTCATTCCATATAATATAAGATAATCATAGCTACTAAGTTGATCCCAAGAAAACTAATAATGAACCATTTAAAGCTTTCCAATGCACCTGGATCTAAGTAGCTAGTAAGCAAACTAAACACCTATTCACCTGTTCAAAACCTGTTCATTTATGCAAGAAATTCATTCTTAGAACGAGTTATAACGTACAAATCATTCATTGAAGATCTAATAGATGAACACCTGCCAACCTGTCCACATAACATATCATAATAGATCAAGGAAACCTGTTTAAATTCAGCCATACAATTAATCATTCTCTCATCCATGCATGAGAGCTATTGGATCCCATAAAATGAGATCTTATCCTGTTAGTCACACAGTTCAACACCTGTTCAAATCAAGCATTTTAAGAATTAGAACAAGAATGCATGAATCTTGCATTCATGCAACATTCTGAGATCAACATATATAGAAACTAATTAAGTTAACATTCGTGCAAGTTTATTCCAAATCAGCAAAGCGTAAAAGAAAAAAAAAACTTGTAAAAAATAGGGTAGTGAAAGAAAATATTAGATCTGAGATAACTTGTTACTTGAAGCCGAAATCAAATGCTTTGTTGTTTGTGATTACCTAAGGCTTAGTTTGGAAGGAGTACAAATGTAAATATGTAGAGTGCAAAACCTTATATTCTGCATTATTTAGTATGTATTTGCACAGTATATATTTGTATTTGTACTCTTTCCAAACTCAGCCTAAAACAAAAAAATAACACAACCTCAAATCCAAGTTCAACCGAAAAAAAAATGTTTGAATCAAAAGATATATTACCGTGTCGGAGAATAAAGTCCAGATCTGGAACAACCATATTCTAGAATCCAGATCTGGAGATCGTGCGAATAAACTCAAATGACTATTTGGTTAGAAGCTAGATCTGGTTCAATCATGCCAGATCTAAGCCTACCTTCACCGAGAACACCGGTGATGAGGTCTAGATGGCCAAGGACGGATGGACACGGTGGTGAAATTTCAATGGCCACCCATCAAATGGAACAGGAGAAAAACGGTATAAAAAAGAATGGGAATGAAGAGATAGTGTCAGAACTACACTTACCGTCCGACGGGAACGCCGGAGATATGACCATTGGACAAGAGGAAGGGAGGTGAGGATATTCTTCAAATATCCTTTCTCGGGTTTTCTTTCCTTTCCTTTCCCAGTGTTTTCATTTGGGAACCCACACCCCTAGTGTTTCATTTCCTTTCCTAGGTTTTCGTTTGAAACAAACACACGGGAAAAAGAATATTCTTCAAATATGCTTCATTTCCCATCCGTTTCTCGGAAACCAAACGCACCATTAACGATTTATACCGTCTTAGACAAAATTTATTTCTATTCGGATCGGGTGCCATTGTTGGATCGACTTGGGTTTTGGCCTATTGCGCTACAGGATTGTAATTGGGCTTGGGGGCCAGATCTATCTCAATCTACCTCAAATCTGGAGAGGATTGCTTAAACCTTGTTAAATACATTTTTCAAGTTATAACCAAAACATTAGCCCTTAATAATACTGTTGAGCTTTGAAAAGGAGTACAAATACAAATATGTAGAGTGCAAATCGTTGTATTTTGTATTATTTTATATGTATTTGTATTGTATACATTTGTATTTGTATTCCTTCCAAATGTATACAGTGCTAATACATGTATACGGCATCTTTAAACCTTTTATTTGCAGTGTATATGTTTGTATTTGCACTCTTCCAAAACTGATCTTTGAGAAGAGTGCAAACACAAATATGTTCAGTGCAAAATCATGTATATGGTATTTTATTTTATTTTCTTGTGAGGATGTATATGATTTTTCAAAACCCTGTATTTGCACTGTACGTATTTGCATCTGTATTCTTCCCAAACTGAGTTATGGAATTATCAGTGCTTTGGTGGATTATATTTAACTTTTAAGGGTGAGTTTCTAATAGAAGATATAATTCATGTGAATTATGGCACAAGAATCTGTTACATATCCTTTAGGCTATGTTTGGTTTGAAAGAAAAGGTAGGGAAAGGAAGGGAAAGACAGAGAAATCTATATAAGGTTTGTAAAGGTTTTCCTACTTTTTCCTTCCTGTCCATGCATTTTCCTTCAACCAAACATAACCTTAGAGAATAAATACCTATTCAGGACCCTCACCTTTTAGGTTAGAACGGTTCCTTGACATGGTATCAGTGCCTGTTTGAAGTTCAGCTTCCGTCAGGGCAAAGCCCATTAGAGCAGCCTTTATAGCCTTCCAATTGAGAATATGCCCCTACTTGTGTGCTTTATTTCATGGGAAAATATTCCCAATGAAAGGTTGCAAATGTCGGTTGAAACGGTGTAAACACGGGATTGCCCTGAGGGAAGCTGATCTCGCCTGTTTGACCAAGTGATTTTGGTGTTTGTTCCTTCTCACCCCTATTATAATTAATTTGCGTTGATACCGAAAAAACCACTTTTTCTAGGTGAGGATCAAACATGGTCCATTCATACTGAAATGTAATTAATAAATTGATTATAAATTTACTTGCATTGCAACCAAACACAGCCTTTGCATTTGTAGTTTTTGTGTCGTAATGCTAATTTCAACCTTGGAAGCAACTCCTACTCCCATTAATGTTTTCGTACAAAAGTTATATAGCAATGTTTTAAAAACCCACTTAGAACTGGAAGCACTTTGGTCACCGGTTTATGGGTCAGCGGTCCAACCGACTAATCCGAACAGACAGTCTGTTGCAATTTTAAAAGAATAAAAATAAAAACAGCCAAAGACTGTTGTTAGGATCGAACAGGCTGATGGTTTGACCACCTAAGTCAGCAGATCCTGAATAAGTCAATGGGTTTTTGACAAAGTTCCGGTTCAGGGGTGAGATGGAACATGTTGCTTTAATAATTTCCAGGCCAAACAGTCCAACCATCTGGACCAACGACAGCTCAAAAATATGGTATTTAATGCTGATTTAGGGGTGATCATGCACTAGCTCAGCAGTATAAGAGGGCTTCCTTCAAGCCCGAAATTTGTTGGTGGGCCGGGCCAGACTAAAAATATCACCGCTCGTAATCACCCTGGAGTAAATTACATGCACCTCGACTAGGGTTTCCATTAAATACTAGCCCCGTTTGGTTTGTAGGAATAGGGGGTTGGAATTGGAATCGGAATCGGAATAGGGGTTGAAAGCAAAAATAATACTTTTATTAATTAATAAAATATTTTTCTGATTTAATTCTTTCCTTTCAAAAGTGCGGTATAAGTAGGGGTGAAAAATGGGTCGGTTCTACTCGGAACTGATTGGAACCAGCCCCCACCCAAACTAGTTTCAGGGTCTGGGGGTTTACTATACCCGAATTGACCAGAAGAATCGATATATATTGATTGGCCTTGGTGGAATGTGTACGAAGTTGTATTTTATTTTACATTGAAATTGCATTTAACTAAATTGTGGAATGTGTGTGAAGTTGAATTATGGATTAACAATGATAATGTGATATTATCTTGTAAACGGGAGCGGGTTAGCTGAAGACAACATCATACACACCAGGCTGGGCTGCCTATCACGAGTGAACACGCCAGTGCTCACTGTGGGCCCCATCTGTACTGAATACTGTTGTGTTCAAGTGTGATAGGTAGCTCAGCCTGCTGTGTATGATGTTGTCTCCAGCTCATCTGGATTGCTTGAAACCGACCAGCCCCTATCTAAGTTCTGCCTGATTGGAACCAAATCAAATTTCCCCTAAACCAAATTAACCCACACTTACCTAGGTATAAGTAATTGAAATTGATTAATCCTCTCTTGTTCACCCTTTTCCAATTATTATTAACCTGTATTTTTCTTTCTTTAAAACTTAAAATCTACCAAGTAAGATAAATGGAAACAAAAATAATTTTTTTTTTTTTCGTTTGAAAACCCTAAGATGGATTCCATTAATGGGACTCAAATTAAGATTTTAGGTTGCAAGGTTTCTTGAGACAATTACTTAGTCCACCACTTCACTAACATGTCTCATCAGTTTTAGTGGCTGAAAATCAGAGAAACGCTCAGGTGACACAGTCCTGCATATGGTAAGATATATATCCCCAAATTTTAATTGATAATAAAAAAAGTAGATGAATATTCATTAGATGTTGATGGAACCCCACAGCCTTATTTGACATTCAAATTAATAACTTCTTAAAGTTTACTGGGTCTGAGAGTCAATGTTCTCATCAGTCAAAAACCAGAATATTTATATCCAACTCTTTCAATGTTTCAACCAAAGACGCAAATAATCCATATATATCTAATAAAAAACCGAACCGGTTAGACTGTTACAAGGATCTGTTGATGGTGTGCTTCGCTATGTAGAACCAGATGGTCGTCATCAACCCCAGTCAATTTCCAAGCTCTATCAGCTTCCTGAAACCAATCAGTTTGAAGGAGAAAATACACCATTGATAACAGACAACAAGCCTCAGCTGCCAACAGTCCTAACCACAGCCCCAAGAACCCAAAACCAAGGCGGAAAGCTAACAAGATGGCCAGAGGCATTCCCAAGAGATAAAATGCAGCAAAGTTTATATTAGCTCCTAGTCTGGGCCTGGCACATCCCCTCAGGACTCCACAACCAGTCGTCTGTGGGCAATTGAAGAGCTCGCAGAGGCCTATGATGGGCAAAACCGTGCTGGTTAAGTCAAGAATTTCACTATCATCTGTAAACATCTTCCCCCATATGGAGCTGACCCCAGTTGCAAATGTCATTGAGAGAAAACCAAAGAAGGACGACAGGAGTAGAGCAACAATCATGACTCTTCTAGCTTTCCAAGGCATGTTAGCACCCAGTTCATTACTCACTCTAGTAGACACCCCGAAGCTGATGGATGAAGGCATTATATAAAGCAGAGAAGTTGTTTGTATTAATACCCCCATGGCTGCAACCTTTGGCTTAGGATCTGAGAGCAACCCACATAAGATAATCATGAATTCATACCACCACCACTCCAAACAGACTGAGAAACAACTTGGGATCGCCAGCCCCAATATGGTCTTCCACCCAGTAAGGCACTCTAGTGTCACCCCTCGGAACGTCATTTTATGTGAACCCCAGAAGCAGACGTACAGAAATAACATCAGAACAAGATTGTAACTCGTCCAGACAGATGCAAGCGCAGCTCCCTTTATGCCCATGTTCATGCTTATCACTAGTACAAAGTTTATGGGTATGTGTAGGATCAGAGCAATTGTGGCACAGGTGGCAAGGGGGAGAGTTATCCCTTGTGTCCTTAAGTAGATCCTGAGTGGGTGCAGAAGGGATTGAGCGAAGAGATCAGGAATGGAATAAGCCAGGTAGGTTGAGGCCATGGAGGTGACCATGGGGTCTTGGCCACACCAGAGCAATAACCTTTCCATGCTTAGCCATAAGAAAATTAGAGGCAAACAAGAGAATAGCAGGATTACTACTGTCCTTTGTAGTGTGACAACCAGGAGACTCCACCTCTTAGCTCCAAAAGCTTGCCCACAAATCGGCTCCATTCCCATGGACAAGCCAGTGATGATAGAGTAGCCCGTGATGTTGGCAAAGCCAATGGAAAGAGAAACAGCTGCGAGCTCCAACTCACCCAGATAACCAATGAAAAGCATGGTGATCATGGCTCTTGAATAGAGAACCACACCTGTTAGTGCTGTGGGACCTGAAATTTTACTCAATGACTTCACCTCATCCACGATCTAGCTTCAAACACAAATATAAAATACTCAAGTTAAAGGGGGAGGACACATAAATTAGAGAGAGAGAGAGAGAGAGAGAGAGAGAGAGAGAGACCTCAGTCCATGGGGGTAGGGAGTATCTCTTGTAATCAGTTTGATTGAGGTGATCAAGTGCTTGATGTAGCCTCATCCTTTCTGGGCATCAGCGCGTCTGAAGAGAGGCCGTGGTCGTTGGCTTGTTTCTCCAGTACTCTTTAATGTCTTTTCTTTTATATATATGTAGTTGGGTTGTGGTCTGGTTGCCTAAAAATGACAAGAAAATCTTCTCCCAATATGCCAAGAAATCTGGTATAGCTGTTTCTTACTAAAACACTAAACGACTAAAATAGAAAACTCCAAGTATCTTTATAGGAATCGGTGCCTGAGAATTTTAGCCTCAACAACCAGTGTTTATGTCATTCCCAACATCATCTTCTTTATATACACAGCCTAGGAAATAGAGTATTATAAAATAAATGAAAAAAATAATAGACAAGAGCTAGGGAAAATTCCTGTGAATTCATCTCCCATACCCATGAGGCCTCTTACAAATTACAGTCTTCTTCTTCTTCTTCTTCTTACCTCTCAATCTTGTTTCTTTCTCTGGTTCTCTGTGATCCTGTGTGCCTTGTGAGTTGAGACTTGAGAAGAATCATTGTGGCAGAAATCTCGGCTCATGCTTAGTGGCTGATTACTCTCTCTAGCGTCCTTCTTCTTTCTTAGTGTCTCGCTTGTTTTAAGCACTAACGGGTCACAACTGACTTCCCAACGTTCTTTGTTGATGAATAAGAAGACATGCTGGCTATAAACACTACACAAATAAACAAAGTATGGGAGTGCTCGCCCATTTCACTTGGTTTGTATCTTGTAACCAAGATCATGTAATGGATCGGGGCGGACCCGGTCGGACCTATTCATGCACGCATCTTGCCAAATCTTAATTTTGCTTTCGGTCTGGATCTGGGTCTGTTATGGGCACACCGCCCGGCAGCGCGCTGTGGCGCAGGCATAGGCAGCAGCACACACAGCGGGCCGCCCAGCAGCACGCACCGCCCGACAGCGCCGCACATCAGCCCGGCAGCGCGTACAGCAGCACGCACCGCCCGGCAACACGCAGTACGCACCGCCTGGCAGCACGCAACAGCAATAGGGCGGGGCCCACATGACAGCTCATCAGGGTGGGTCCACACTTATCTTACCACATCAGCTCTGCCTGCCAACTCGTCGCCAGTTACACCATTCCTTATCCCTTATCCCTTAGCTTATCTTATCCTTATCTTGATATTATCTTAAGTAAGAGTTGTGTTACCATTAAGAGTAGGTAATTAGGAGTTTGAGTTCACGTTGGAGTTTGAGTTTAATTAGTAATTTCCATCTGTAATCTCCTATTTAAGGAGCTACGAATTGAAATAAAGCATTCAGTTTTCCCAGTCAAGAGAAGAGTAAGGAGAATTCGGGTGGTCTCTTGGACAAATCACCCATTAGGAGAGTTCGGGTGGTCTCTTGGACAAATCACCCATTCGGTTTTCCACAATAGGTTCTGCATGCAAGGGAAAGCAGGGCTTTCTCCCCGTGGACCGGCCCGTGATGAGATCCTACGCGCGGGCCCATAACAGGGTCGCCCACACCCAACAAGTTTAGAGATTCAATCGGTTTAAAGTCAACTCACAATCTGAACCAAGCCATTTTTATGTCCCAGAAATAGATCACTTGCATTGATTAAGGGATCAAATCCAGTAGGCACAACAAAGTAAGCACTTAAACGGGTACTTGATAAATATTTTAACAACTGTTAAAAGTGGGTATTAATCTTTTTTAAGAATAGGCTTAGGTATTTTGAGGGACAGGTGTCAAAAAAATTTCTAAGTGCTCATTAACCATGCTTTGCCTATCTGATCCGAATTGATTAGTTATGACTTCGTTTGTTTTCCGTTTACCGGGCGGGTAAGAGGTTTCTCCAAATAAGTAATTTTTAGGAAAGTGTTACCTAAGTAATCACAAATACAATGGGTGCAAATGCTTTGATGTTTTCAACATCCATTCTCTAAGGGAGTATTAGTTATTCGAGTAAAAAAATATTGTAGACACTATTATAGCATTGACCCAAACACGAGATTATTACATTTCCACATAACCCACCTATTTACCTCCATTTTTACTGCAAAATGAATGAGACCTATATGGGTTTATCTACTTGGTAGAGAATGGCCGGAAGATCCATTAATTGGTACAAGATTCTCATCATGCCACCAATTGTCCCTTTTGGTGGGTTGTGCGTCAGGAAGACTATCTGTATCTCCTTGGGTCGACGAGAATGAGAAGGCTGATTCATGTCTCATATCTGTTGAGACAGAGTGAGAGAGGTGGCTTTCATGCAAGAAGAAAATTGCTCAAGGTTGGGTCTGCATCTGGGCCACCTTTCCCCAAAGAGTAAGATGTCAAGACTCCGAATAGCCTGGATTCAACATTAAGGGCCTAAGTGGGTGATGAGTGATGACCCATTTTTTTATTTAGGGTTTTGACTTGACTGAAAATTATGTTGGACTTTGGATATTCCGGAAATGGGTTGGGCGGCTGAGCAAACATTTCACCGACCAACCTACAAGTGATTGATGGCTACTGCCGGAGGCCGGTGGAAAGATATAGAAACTATCCAGAACCCGGGACCCAATTGGGTTAATGACAGTTTGAAAATGAAAACACTGTTATGGGTTGCCAATTGGATCCGGTGAGGCGGTGGCCTCCTGTCCACAATTAAGCTGACAGGTGAGTTTGATGATGACAACTGAATCACGGGAGCTTTTCTTTTCTGTTACACAAATAGGCTAATCAATGGCCCGATGACTCTCATTACTAATTCAGTTGGTCACTTGGTATGTAATTGCGGGTTGAAATCCATTCATATAAGCACAGGCTCTCCGTGTTGTGATTTGTGAATGCTAGTTGGGCTTTTCCTGGGTCCAGTTGGGTCTAGTGTATTGCACCTTATTCTAAAATTGGGCTGGGTTAGTCCAAACCCAATCCAGATAAAAGTGAGGTTGGGTTGAAGTTTGGATTAGGTTGAAAATGTAAATCCGATTAAATTTCATATTTGTATAAATATTATATAAAGATGTAAATATGTGTATAAATAATGTTTTAAAAATTGATTTAGAATTGGAACCGTTTTGACCACGGGTTTATAAGTTAGCAATTTAACTGTCTGGTTCGATAGACCAATCGGTGTATGTGTATGCATGCAACTATGCATGTGTATTTTAATGAATGCATAGTTGCATGCATACACTAAGCTAGAAAATTGGATCATCAATTAGGATGTATTTTGAGAGTTCAAATCAGCCCCTCACAAGATTGCCCCCCCACGATGTCCCACAGCACATCCCCACTGTGTATTAGGAACATCTCTCAATAACAATATCATTATTTCTGATATTATCATCAGGAGATATTTCCAATACACGGCAGGGATATACTGTGGAACGTTGTGGGGGCTGATTTGGTCTCGTATTTGAATGCATGATGGACCAACCAGTGTATGTGTAGTTAATGATCCAATATTTACCAAATCATTGGTAAATATTGCATGTGTATGCATGCAACTATGCATCCATACTGGCCAGCCTAAAGGTTAGGTTGAGGGTTCAACAGCTTGGATTTGTTTAATGGTTAGGATTGAACTCAACCCAACCTGATCTTAATGAGAGGGATGTGAGATTCAATTCCAAGTTTAGTGTAAGTGAATCCCAAGTCTTCACTACAACTAACCAAAGGTTTTATCAATTGGATCATTAGGATGTATTTTAATGAATCCACATGTTTCATTGAGAAAAACATGCACCTTACCTCAGCTAGAAAATTCACATTAATAGAAAAATGAGGAACCCGTTTTTTGTTATTGTTTGGGATCAACAAAAGCAAGTGAAGTGGTCATGAGGTATTATTATATTCTCCATAAGAAGGTTCATCTGACCATCTCTGGTATAATCTAGTATACTAGTGTATATGTAAGCAAATGTGACCTAATTTGGCATTTATTAGCAGATTTATTTGAATATATAGAATTGGATCCCTTCTTTCAAATGGAAACTTTTATATATTCTATACAACATCTATGCTAGCTACCATCCAACAATTCTAATTTGATTTCCATATAGTATAGATAGTTAGTTAGATCCCCTCCTGATTGGGCTTGGGGGCCCAGAATGATCTCTCTTTCTCCGAGCTCAATCTCCATGTAAAACAACATATGGGCCAATTAATCTTCAATAACCACCTAATCTTTTGGCCAAGTCTTGGCAGATGATTTGAAACACAACAATTCAATTGAAAGCAGTTTCACTTGTCAGGATACGGAAAAAGATGGATTTTGAAGAGTATATAAAACTTTTTCTATGATTATAAGTGGATTGAGGGGGATCTCCTCCTTTGGCTTTACTCACCACACATTTCAAAATATATAACCTCGTTCATTTTTTTATACAAATTATTTATTCGCTCATGTTCTTTTGTTTATCAGGTAAATAAGATAATAATCGTTTTAGTCATAAAAAACCATTATTGAAAGGGGTAATTTTGTTCTATCCAAGTGTTGGCAACTTTTCCCTTAAGTGAGAAAATTAATTACTCACTTTGGAGATGAATATCAATTTGAAAAAATAAATTTTCTGTGGACCACACATAAATTTGAAAAAAAAAAGAGTTCATTGACCAATGGGAACCAAAATCCTATTGACCAATTTTCCTCTCAAAATCCAAAACACGAATGGACCCTAATGGATTAAACATAAAGGGTAAAACTCTCTTTAACTGTTCATTAAATTTTCAAAACAAGCAACTGAAATTCCTTATCGCCACCTCTAGATCTGTTAGAGATCAATGGGAATGGCTCTAACGTTTCATTAAGGTTATATTTGGTTTGAAAGAAAATGCATGGAAAGGAAAGTAAAGGAAAGGTAGGGAAATCATTACAAACCTTTTATAGGTTTCCCTGTCTTTCCCTTCATTTCCCTACCTAATTTTCCTTCAAACCAAACATAGCCTAAGGGAAGGCCTGTTTATGCCTTGTAGGGCCGTCTTTCTAAGTAGTTTTATAAAACATGGAGTATATTTAAGTAGCTTTGTCAAACCACATGGCCCTTTTATTATTAATTATAAAAATCTTTATTATATATAATGTTGTTACTTGCTTGGCTTCACATCCA